GTTAGTAAAGTTTCTTCAAATACTCACAAAGGTAATTTATAAAACAGCAGTTAGGGACATTTGTCCTTAACTGCACGCAACCACTTGGTGTGTGGCTACAAGCAAACAGTGGTGGCCACTGTCAGCCTGTCAGTAGTTTATGTAGGCTGATGTTTGCATGCACCTGTGAATCTAGCAGCAAGAATCCGCTCATTCTTGACACTGGAATCCAGTGTATGCTGCTAAATGGCTGTGTGAAGGAGGCCTGATAGAGTGCAGCTTACTAGTCCTTGGATGTAGTGGCTACATGAATTTTCTTCTCTTACATTTTTTAATGGCCATAGCCTCTCTTCTTTATTCATGACCAAACGGTTTTATAGCACCACCTATAGGTGCAGGACACTAGGCAGAAAAAAACTAGGCACCTCCTCAGGGCAGTCCTCTCTAGGCATAAAACTCCCTCTCTGCTATAGGCAAGCCAATTATTTCTGCCTAGCATTTCAGGTACTATGGCCGTCCCCTTCTTCCAAAGGTGGTGTTGGTTTTCCATGTGAATGAAGACATCGTCCTTCCCTCCTTGTGCCCTCAGCCTTTGCACTCTAAGGAGGTGGTTTTGCCTTCCCTGGATGTGGCTTGAGCAATTCCTGTGTACTTCTCTGTGATGGCTGCCTTCTGAAGGGCCGACTCTCTCTTTGTTCTCACAGATGGCTTGAGGAAAGTCATGGCGGCCTCTTCTGCCACTATTTCTCATTGGATTCGGCAGACAATTATTCAGGAATGTGCCATTAAGAGGCGGGAACCTCCCTTCCCTGTTTCTGTGCACCTCATAAGGGCGGTTAATGCCTCCTGTGCGTTCCGACATCAGGTGTCTTTCTTAGTTTGCAAGGCAACTGTGGATGCTAGTTTTGGCCGCAAAGTTTTGCATGCGGCTGTTTAAGGCTGTTTAAGGCTCTTAGGCACCCCTTCGAGGTGGTTCAGAGTGTTGGTGTGTTAGCCTGGGTTTTCTCCTTTAGTTGGTTTGCCCACTTCTCTTTGTGGTACTGATTTGGGACATCCCTGTTTGGTCATGAATAAAGAGGAGAGGCTGTGTCCATCAATGGACGTAAGAGCAAATGTTTTTTTTTTGTTACTCATCATAAAATCTCTTACTGTGAGCTCATTTACGAACACAGCACCCACTTCTCTATTGTGTGAAGGAGCCGCATTGACTCTCTGTGTGTGGGGCCATCCGCCTGCTTCCTGCCAACCGATGACATCATTGGTTGTTGAGGACAGGTTGGGCGCCTGCACAGGGTTTCTGGGTTGCTGCTCTGGTGCTTTCTGGGGTACGCTGATTGCCTGTTCTGTCTAAGGAGCTGTGGACTCCATGAACATGAGTGAGAGAAGTAAAAGAGGGAGAAGACTGGTCAGTGGGCTGGCTGCACATGAGTTACTGTGAGCTCTGGAGGTGCAAGGCTATGTTTGTTTGTGTCAGTAGTAATTTACACACTGAATTTATTTTAACTAATTGCAGGCATGGTGTTTTTAACCACCATATGGACTTTTGTATTTGATTCAATTATAAATGTAATGCATATATATTTTTTCATATGTGTTTTTCATTACTTTATAAATGTTGTTTCAGTTGATTATCTATATGGTATTCATGGGTCTGTAGCTAATATAGCATTGCACTTCCTTTCATTTTGTATACCGCATACACACTGCCCTGCTGCGGTATGGCTGCAGTGCATGATACCCATAGTCATCATGTGGGTTTCCTGTGGTTTCCCATAGACTTCTATTATGTCCCACATTTTTAGTGCATTTTCTGAAAGCACACCAAAAGTTCTGCGTTCTGCATCTTTGGTGCGTTTTCAGAAAATGCTTCAAAAATACGGGACATAATAGAAGTATATGTGTCTGTATATGTACAGTGGATATAAAAGTCTACACACCTCTGTTAAAATGTCAGGTTTCTGTGATGTAAAAAAAAAATGAGACAAAGAAATAATTTTAGAGCTTTTTCCACCTTTAATGTGACCTATAAACAGTACAAATCAATTGAAAAACAAACAGAAATATATTTTTTTTGGGGGGGGGGGGGGATTAAACATAAAAAAAACTAAAATAATGTGGTTGCATAAGTGTGCACACCCTCTTATAACTGGGGATGTAGCTGTGTTCAGAATTAGGCAATCACATTCAAAATCATGTTAAATAGTTAGTACACACCTGCCATCATTTAAAGTGCCTCTGATTAACCCCAAATAAAGTTTATCTGTTCTAATACGTCTTTCCTGACATTTTCCTAGTCGCATCCTACAGCAAAAGCCATGGTCCACAGAAAGCTTCCGCAGCATCAGAGTGATCTCATTGTTAAAAGGTATAAACCAGGAGAAGGGTTCAAAAGGCTTTCCAAGGCATTAGATATGCCATGGAACACAGTGAAGACAGTCATCACCAAGTGGAGAAAATATTGCGTAGCAGTGACATTACCAAGAATTGGACGTCCATCCAAAATTGATGAAAAGACGAGAAGAAAACTGGTCTGGGAGGCTGCAAAGAGGCCTACAGCTGTAGCTGTGTTCAGAATTAAGCAATCACATTCAAAATCATGTTAAATAGTTAGTACACACCTGCCATCATTTAAAGTGCCTCTGATTAACCTAAAATAAAGTTTAGCTGCTCTAATACGTCTTTCCTCACATTTTCTTAGTCGCATCCTACAGCAAAAGCCATGGTCCACAGAGAGCTTCCACAGCATCAGAGGGATCTCATTGTTAAAACTATCAATCAGGAGAAGGGTATAAAAAAGGGCTTTCACAAGGCATTAGATATGCCATGGAACACAGTGAAGACAGCCATCACCAAGTGGAGAAAATATAGCAGTGACATTACCAAGAATTGGATGTCCATCTAAAATTGATGAAAAGACGAGACGAAAACTGGTCTGGGAGGCTGCCAAGAGGCCTACAGCAACATTAAAGGAGCTGCAGGAATGTCTGGCAAGTACTGGCTGTGTGGTACATGTGACAAACAATCTGTATTCTTCATATGTCTGGGTTATGGGGTAGAGTGGCAAGACAGAAGCTTTTTCTTATGAAGAAAAACATCCAAACCCGGCTAAATTTAGCAAAAACACACCTGAAAGCATGTGGGAAATGTGTTATGGTCTGATGAAACCAAGGTTGAACTTTTTGGCTAGAATTCCAAAAGATGTTTGACGCAAAAACAACACTGCACATCACCAAAAGAACACCATACCCACAGTGAAACATGGTGGTGGCAGTGTCATGCTTTGTGGCTGTTTTTCTTCAGCTGGATCTGGGGCCTTAGTCAAAGTAGAGGGAATTATGAACACTTCCAAATACCAGTCAATATTGGCACAAAACCTTCAGGCTTCTGCTAGAAAACTGAACATGAAGAGTAATTTCATCTTTCAGCATGACAACGACCCAAAGCATACATTATTATATTATTATACAGTATTTATATAGCGCTAAAACGTTTGCTCAGTGCTGTACATTATAGTGGGGGACAGAACATGAGACAATACAGTAACAAAAACAAAACACGAGGGGGTCAAGGGCCCTGCTCTTTTGAGCTTACAATCTAGGAGGGAGGGGATAGTGGTACAGGAGGAAGTGGCTGTGGGGGATGGAGTGGTAGGAGGAGTGGAGGAGATCGGCTGTTAGGTGAGGGCGGGGTAAGCTTCCCTGAAGAGATGGGTTTTCAGGGTGCGCCTAAAGGTGAGGAGGGTAGGTGACAGTCTGATGGATTGGGGTAGAGAGTTCCAGAGGATGGGGGAAGTCCTGCAGTCGGGCGTGGGAGGTGGAGACCAGGGAGCTAGAAAGTAGGAGGTCTTGTGAGGAGCAAATACATTCAAAATTAAACAAAGGAATGGCTTCACCAAAAAGACTGAGTGCTGTAATAAAATCAGAAGGTGCTTCAACAAAGTATTAGTTTTAGGGTGTGCACACTAATGCAACCATATTATTTTAGTTTTTTATTTTTACCTCCCTCCACCTAAAAGATTTCAGTTTGTTGTTCAACTGAGCTGTACAGTTTATAGGTTACATTAAAGGTGGAAAAAGTTCTGAAATGATTTAGCTTTGTCTCATTTGTTTACATCACATGTTAACAGGGGTGTGTAGACTTTTTTTATCCACTGTATCTATATGTTTGTGTATATGAATGTATGCGAGTGTACGTATGTATGCTTGGATCACTTGTCAGAGGCATTTGACAGGGGGTGCAGAGGCGATATGTCTCCTGTTTTAACCCAGTAAATGCAGCATCGTTGTACCGCAACCATGTGCAATGTATGCTGTTGCTGGGCGGTTGCAGTGAAGACCCACTCACTTGGGGGTATACTTGCTGCCACGGCCACAGCATATGCACGACCCTGGCTGCTGAATCTGCAGCTAAGGGGGGAGCAGTTGGGGGATGGTAAAAACAGCTCAACCGTGTGGTTTTACCAGTCTCCAACCTGATATGTGAATGAGCCCTTTGCAGCTGTGTGCAGCATGTAGGACAGTCCATTCATTTCAGTGGGCTGTCCTACCCACAGAAACACAGGAAAAGAAGACCTCAACCCCTTTTTTAAAATCATGTCGCACCAGAAACTCACTGTGCTTGCGAATTCATGGGGGTACCGTTATGAATTAATTGCTCTCCTACACCTCTGCACATTTGTCTGCGTGTCGAGAATGTGTGTGATTTTACATGTGTTCCCCAACACACAGTGATGTGAATCAAGCCTTAGATTGGGGTGTTTCGAGACTGAAAATATATTTTAAGGGCGTCCTGACTAGAAAAAAATGGTTGAAAAACACTGCTAGACTGACAATGCTCACTTACTGTACTGCATCTATGGAGGAGCAGCATTGCCGCCCTAGGACAGGAAGTGTGGACCTGGACAAATGTGACTATGCAAACAAAACATACCTGGAATTCGGCTTTAATGTATTGTTGCTTTGTAAATTATAACTTTATGATTATGTTGTATTATAAAATTATTGTTGAAATTATCTTTTTCTAGAGAAATGATCCCCCCTTTCAGCTGAAACTCCCTCCTAAAGCTCAGCGTCCTGAAAAGGAAGTGGATCCTGAATATGAAGAAAAGATGGTAAGTGTTGTGAGAGTGGGCTAACAGACAGTTAAATATACTCCCATATAAATGGCTTGAAGGAACACAATAGCAGGAAGCACTAATTTTACTGACAGGATGTAACAAAGAAAGTTAAGAGAGGGAGCAAGTGAGGAAATTGTCAGTGCCCATTCTTTTTAAAACACTCTGTCACTTTCTATCAGTTTTGTTAAACACTCTGGTTAACTGACTGATAAACTTTGTTAAGACTGACTGATAAGCTTTTATTTTGACATGAAACATGCACTGCAATGTTAACACATGCTGGAATAATGTTTTCAAACGTATTAAGTCCTCATGCACTCTGGACATTTTTACAGCTGCTGTTTTGGGCTTTTGATGTTTTTTTCTACAGCCAGTAAACCCCCCAGCATGTTATCCTATGTGTCCATGCACACATAGTCTGTAATCAACGTTTTTGGCAGGAATGTTTTTTTGGATGGAAAAAAAAACCCCAGAACTAGGAGTTTTTTAGCCTTAAAAATGCTCTAACGCTGAAAACCATGGCAAAAACACGGTACATCGCAGCAAACGTGTTTTTTGGACGTCACGCTTTTGACTAAAAAAACCTCTAAAAATGCAGCTAAACGCTAATAGAAAAACACTAAAAAAAAAAAAAAGGTTTTTAGTGTGACTTTACACAGCTAATGTTACCAGCGTTATTAACCACTTCAAGACCGGACACTTTTACCCCCTTCCTGACCAGGGCAATTTTCAGCTTGCAGCGCTATCACGCTTTGAATGACAATTACGCGGTCATGCAACGCTGTACCCAAATGAATTTTTTACCATTTTTTTGAAACAGATAAAGCTTTATTTTGGTGGTATTTATTCACCGCTAGGATTTTTATTTTTTTTGCTATGTAAATGAAAAAGTCCAAAAAGTTTGAAAAAAAGTGTTTTTTTTTATAAAATTTTGCAAATAAATAATATTTCATCATAAATCTTTGCCAAAATTTATTCCGTTATCTTTTTAGTAAAAAAAAAAATCCAAATTAGTTTATAACAAAAATTATAATTTTTAAAACATTTTTTTTTACATTTTTATTTTATTTTTTTATATTATTATTTTTTATTTTTTTAATTTTTTTTACATACTGTCACCCTAGCAGTACAGTGTCACCATGGTGACACTGTACTACTTGTGGGGGGTGATGAAGATTTTTTTTTTTTTTTTTTTACACATTGCTTTTACACCCATATAGGATGTAAAAGCAATCATCTCTTTCTCTCTGTGTGCATTCATGCACTCATTGAGAAGTACTGCCTGAGCTGTGATTGGTCACAGCTTGTCACATGGTACAAGGCTGTTGTGAATAGCCTTGTACCATGTGACCTATGTGATCATTCACAGATTTCACACGTAGTAAGCAATGATGTCACAAGTGACATCTTGCTTACTACTTTGCATGTGATCACTGATTGGCCAATCAGTGATCACATGATCGGGACCTCGTACAGAGGTCCCGTCCAATGATCGGTGTTTCACTGTGTCCGGAGGACACAGCGGGCACCGGATCGCGGTGCTGCGCGCTCCCAGGGAGCGCGCACAAGCAGGGTGCGGGGAGGCCGTTTATAGACGGCCACCCGACCCTGCAGTGGCACCGTCCGGCCGTTTATATGCAACGGCCGGTCGGGAAGTGGTTAAAACACCCAGTGTGCATGGAGCCTAAATGTATTGGTGTGTTTTATAATGAAAACTTCCCTATAAAGATACATAGGTACATTGGTATCAATGTGTACATTGGAGGAAGGGAGTCATGTGAAAACTGAAGGAAAGTATGTAGTAGGTGCTCAATACTAATGGTGAGATTACATTTTACCACCTATTGCTAGAAAATGACTGAACGTGGTGTTGGTAAAATCTGGAGGTGCTGAAATAGCTAAATGAAGGCAAGTAACACTTTACCTATCTACTGCCATACAGTGGGAGGGCTGTCAGTTTCTCAGTGCTGCTTGGTACACACCTGTCCCTGACTCTTTACAAAAACAAAGTGGCTGAAAATGTATAGATGTGACCGTGTCCCATAGGAAACCACGGTAAATGGACTGTAGTGTATTTCTTCAAAACTCAAAAAGCACTAAAAAAAAAACACATAAGTGTTACCAGGCCCTAAATAAAAAATTGTTGATTGTGCTTATTGCCTCCGCTATATCATGCAAAGTAAAATCACATTTTGCAAAGGGTACAACACATTTTTTTCTATGTAAAGAGCTTCACATTGGGGTTGATTTACTAAAACTGGAGAGACCAAATCTGGTGCAGCTCTATATAGAAATCCACTTCCAGTTTTTTTTTGTCAAAACTTAAAGTGGTAGTAAAGTCTGTTTGTTTACTTGTACCTACAGGTATATAAGGCTTACCTGTAGGTACTGTAAATATCTCCTAAACGTGCACTGTTTAGGAGAGGTTTACACCGGCTCATGCGCTGTGAAGGAATGGCATACCTGTAGCTGTGTGCCATAAACAGTGATTCTCGCATGCATATGCGGGAATTAAGTAATTGTGGCTCGGCCATTCAGGCAGCCGGAGCCTGCGAATCCGGAAGAAGGGCCGGGTGAAGATGGAAACCCTGTCAGTGGTGACATCTTGCCACTGGAGGGCTTCCTTTTAAGGTACGTTTCACATAATGTGCTAGTATGCAATGCGTGCTAGCACATTATGACATTGCCTTGCAGGGGAAATGTTAGAAGCTGATTGGCTACCATGAACGGCTATATTAGATTTTGTACTCTGCAGTTTTAGTAAATCACCCTCGAATTGTTTTTTAGTGACATATCACCAGAATAACAGTTTATGTTATTTTCAGCATGCAGTCAGAATCTGATTTGTGCCCCACATTTCTGCTGATCCCATGGCTTCAGAACATTTTAGAGTCAGAGTCCCAGAACAAGTATTGAGGCCAGGAAAGTCAGAGAGTAGTAGAAGCCCTTATCTGAACGTTTGTTCTAGATCAGTGTTTAGGAGTATTGAAGCCAGAGGGTCAGCATATTAGCCAGGCAGCTAGCATTTTCAGATGGAAAAGTCATCAGTGGCCTCTTTATCATTTTTTCATAACAGGCTTGCTTTATATTTGGTGATAATGTGATATTCTTGGGAAAAACATTTTTAGGAGATATGATCAGCAGCTTGTACCTTCATTATGTTGCCTTTTTCTGTTTACCCATCACCATGTTTACTGGTATTTTTTTTTAGAGAACTAGCCACTGTACAACCCTGATATCCGGAAACTGAGCTCAGAGCAGCAGTGAGAACTCAATGATCAGCGTCATGTGATCGCTGATTTCTCACACTTAGAGCCATCAGGTGGACAGTCCAAGCATCAGACCAATGCTGCATCCACCTAGGTAAGTATAATTTGGGGAAAAAAACAAACCCCATACTTCTCTTTTTAAAGTGATACTAAACCTAAAAAATCTCCTAGATTGTAAGCTCTAACGAGCAGGGCCCTCTGTTTCCTCTTGTACCAAATTGTATTGTAACTGTAATGTCTACCTTCATTTTGTAAAGCGCTGCACAAACTGTTGGCGCAATATAAATTCTGTATAATAATAATAATAATAATAAAAAATTGCTTGCATTAACCGCTTCCCGTCTATCCCGTATATCTGCTACAGGGCGGCACGGGTGCGCAAAATCACGTATGCATTTCCGGGTAGGGGGCGGGTGCGCGCCGCCATTCCCGGCCATAGCAGTCCAATCACCGGGTCCCGGTGATTAATCGGCCGGTGATTAAACAGTTTCCTCACTGTCAGCTCCGACACATTGCTTTGCATGGCTGTGCACAGCACAGCCATGCAAAGCAGTGTGCTTACAGTGAAACACACAGACACAGCCCCATAGTAAAACACACCCAGCACACAGTTAACCCTTGATCGCCCCAGATGTTAACCCCTTCCTGCCCAGTGCCATTAGTACAGTGTCAGTGCTTTTTATTAGCACTGATCACTGTAGTGGTGTCAATGGGGATGTCAGTGACATCACATCAGTTCCCCCCAGTGTCAGAATGCCCTCCGCAGTCCCGCAATAAGTTGTTGATCACCGCCATTACTAGTAAAAAGTAATAAAAAAAAAAAAAAAATACCAGTATACAGTGAGGAACAGAAGTATTTGAACAACCTGCGATTTTGCAAGTTCTCCCACTTAGAAATCATGGAGGGGTCTGAAATTCACACTGTAGGTGCAGTCCCACTCTGAGAGACAGAATTTAAAAAACAATTCAGGAAATCTCATTGTATGATTTTTAAAGAATGTATTTGTCTTGCACTGCTGAACATAAGTATTTGAACACCTAAGAAACCGCACGAATTCTGGCTCTCAAAGACCTGTTACTGTGCCTTTAAAAAGTCCACCTCTACTCCAGTCATTAATCTAACTTAATAGCACTTTTCTGAGCTCTTTAAAGACACCTGCCCATCCCACAGTCAGTCAAACGCCAACTACTACCATGGGCAAGACCATGTTAATAATGTTTAATAGCAAAAAGTCAAAAGTTTTTTTTCTCAAAATTGTCGGTCTTTTTTTTTTTTCATAGCACAAGCGATCAAATACCACCGAAAGAAAGCTCTATTCGTGGGAAAAAAGGATGTAAATTTCATTTGGGTGCAGGGTTGCATGACTGCACAATTGTCAGTTAAAGTAATGCAGCGCCATTAAGCAAAAAATTGCCTCGTCAGGAAGGGGGGTAAATCCTATGGAGGGCAAGTGGTTAAGGTAAAAAATGGTTTCAGTTTTCCTGTATGAAGGGAAGAGAGGGGAAATGAGATTAGCGCTGTGCTTGGTTGTATCTCTTCTTCCCTCACTTCCTCTTCACACAGGGACTCGAACAGCAGCAGGAGCCATTGGCTCTTGCTTCTGTCAATCAAATGTAGTAAATAGGAAGTGGGGGCAAGGCTGAGTGCATAGACACACTGATTGGGAGCGAGCATGCAGCATGTGCCCCCATAACAAATGGCTTGCTATGGGGGCTAACGAAGAG